GAACATCCCCCCACCACCTCCGTGGCTTCCTATTCTGCTTAGAATTGTCTTGTTCCGACTACGTATCTTAATACTCCAACACAATAGGGAAAACAACATCCGTAGGATGTTTCTGAATTGTTAAAGTGCAGCCATACATATTGATTTCATGTGCTTTATAAAGACACGTTATTACTTCTGTAACCATCACTGCTAAAGGCTCATCCTTAAAAAATTCAAACTGAGGGGCCGGCTCCGTGGCCGAGTGGTTAGGTTTGCGCGCTCCGCTGCGGTGGCCCAGGGTTCGGATCCTGGGCACGGACATGGCACCACTCGTCAGGCCACGTTGAGGCGGCGTCCCACATCCCACAACTAGAAGGACCTACAACTAAGATATACAACTAGGTACGGGGGGGTGGGAGGGGGGCGGGGTGGGGGGGGTTGGGAAATAAAGCAGAAAAAAAAAAAAAGGATTGGCAACAGTTGTTAGCCCAGGTGCCAATGCTTAAAAAAAATTTAAAAAATTAAAAAAAAATAATTCAAACTAAAAAAATTTTTGAAGAGAAAAAATAAAACAGTGCATATCCTATCTAAAAAACTATTAATTAACAAATGCAACATACAGATAAGAAGTAGAAAGTGGGCGCTCAAAATAGTATTAAACTGAACATGTCTTTTTAATGTTTATCGGCCAAATGAATGGGGTGTGGGAAGTTTATGAAGTATGTTTTCTTGTGTTATTCTCTTTTCTCCGCTAAGAAGAACATCAACCACACACACTGAAAAGATTCTCAGTCAGGAATCACCTTTCAAAAAAGCCAGGTGAGGGGCCTGCCCTGTGGCCGAGTGGTTAGGTTCGCACACTCTGCTCCGGCAGCCCAGGGTTTCGCCAGTTCAGCTCCTGCATGCGGACCTGGCACCACTCATCAGGCCTTGTTGAGGCTGCATCTCACATAACGCAACCAGAAGGACCCACAACTAGAATATACAACTATGTACTGGGGGGCTTTGGAGAGAAGAAGAAAAAAGAGAAGATTGGTAACAGATATTAGCTCAGGTGCCAATATTTAAAAAGAAATCTGGGTGAGATATCTATGCAACAAACAGCCCTCAGCCCTACATCAGGTTCTGCTCTTCTTCTCTGCCTCCTTCAAGACCCAATTCAAAAATCACCACCTCTGTGAAGCCTTCCTGGCCTTGAAAAGAGTCCATTCTCTTGCCTCCAGATTTCCATGTGATTTTGCCCTGTTCACCTTCTTTTCCTTAGCAACAAGCCCAGGCCCTGTGCACAGATGGTGTTAAATAAATGTTTGGTGAATGAATAATTGATGGAAAGTAGTAATCATCTAGAAACATGACTGGAGAGTGGGCTGCCCCACCTCGGACATTTCTCCACTTCTTTATGAGGAGATAAGATGTCTAAAATCCAGGAAGTTCAGAATTTGTTCACCTTAAACCATTGTCAATGAGCGTGAAAGGAGGCCTCTCTCTGTGCTCTGCATGGTTTAAAAAATATCTAGGGGCTGGCCTGGTGGCACAGCGGCTAAGTTCTCGCACTCCTCTTCAGCGGCCTGGGGTCCACCCATTTGGATCCTGGGCGAGGACCTACACACTGCTCATCAAGCCATGCTGAGGCGGCATCCCATACAGAAGAGCTAGAAGGATTTACAACTAGGATATACAATTAGGTACTGGGACTTTGGGCAGAAAAAAAAAAGAGGAAGATTGGCAACAGATGTTAGCTCAAGGCCAATCTTCCTCACCAAAAAGCAGACCTTAAAAACTATATATATATATATATATATATATATATATATATATATATATCTAGTTCAACACTCTGTTGGGAGAAGAACATCTAAGTAAAAAGAAGTTTTGACATCTCCAGATCAGACGTGCCGTGGTCTGCCTAGAGATTAATTCAGAACACCTGAGATTTCGAGCTGCATAAAAACACCTTTCTAGAAAGGCTACTTGTCCATCTGCTTCTGTTCAGAGCACCAAATGTCCATCACGTGTGTTTTTGGAAGTCCATGAGGATGGGCAATAAACAGATGTCTTTGTTCAATTCAACGTGCCTCTGGGCTGGCACTCACGGCTCGCCCGCTTAAGTTTGCTCGGGGGATGAACAGGCTCCACCACTCACTGGGTTTCCACGCCCAGACAAAGAGGAAAGCCGGGGGGAATCCCTCCACCGTTCCCGAAATAGATTCTGGGTGTGCAAGCCATTTGGCAAAGTTAAGCATTAGACGTTTGGAGAGTCAAGTTTCGAGAGAGTCGGGCAGATTGCATTTCCATGCTCTTCCCATAATTTCAAACCAGGAAGTGCAGTGAACAATTCAAATTAGACAAAACACTGTAGTCTTGTGAAAATTTCCAAGAAAGGCATTTACAAAATTGTCCTCCTTTCTTTCTTTCTTCTTTTTTGCAAGACAGATCATTACAGATGCTGGTCCTCTTTGCAAACGCACTTTAAACAGCATGGGGTATCCCACACAGGGTTGCACATGAGCGTCCTCGAGCCGTGGTGCCTGCAAAGTGGCAGTTAGCATGTTTATAGAGCTTGGCTTTTAGGTTTAACTACAGCGTCCCTCTGGCAAGCCACAGAGGTCATTACAAGAATTGAACAATAACAGAGGAGGTTTGCGTTCACTGTTATCACAAGTAGAGAGAGCCCCTCTCTCCATGCCCTCACCCTGATGGGGGCACAGCTGTTTGCCCTCCCCACCAACGTCAGTCTCAGCCCACTCGGCTCCATCCTTATGGAAAGTGGCAGTGGGAGGTCTTGGTCCACCTTCCGAAGCTGGAGTGCTGTCAGTAAATGCCTGGATCCTCTTTGCAAAGCTCTGGCTTAACTGGTACCTAGGAATCTCCATCCAATCTGACCCCAGGAGTGGACCTTGAGATCCTCATGCCCCTGGCAAGCCCTCAAAGATTCAGGGAAACTATTCTGTCACCGAAGCCTTAGTGGCTGAAGCAGGATATCCAGTGCCAAGTGCTTTGCTCGGTGTGAGGAATGATGCTAAAAATTAGGGTGAAATAAACATTCCTCTTAACCTCCTTGGAACTTCGGTGCCCATCTCCATGCCGCCATCTTGAATTTAAGGAGCAGTAGGAGCAGTAGTCTTGAACTTTTTCAGGTGACCACATCCAGCACTGGCTGCCCCTTAGACCGCCCCCAACGCCACCCACCCATTGTCGTTGTCCCCCGGATGCTTCCTCCCTATTGACACCTATGAGGGTCTGTGGAAAAAATCCTGCTGTCTCCTCCAGAAGGGAATACCAAAAACCATGTTCCCTACCCTCAAAGAAATGAAAATTAAATAACATTAAAGTATAATTCAAGGTGATAAAGATTGAAAAAATACTCACCAAACTTAATATTGGTAACGTTTGAGAAACTACATATTCATGTGTCGGGAAACATAAATTCATTTAACCTTCCTTAGGGCTGTTTGGTTACAAATATTAAAAGTTTAAAATTTTCCATAGGCCTCTAATTTCACTTAAGGTACTTATTACAAGAGAATAACAACAATTTATACAAAGATATATTCACGAGCAAGTTTGTCTCAACCTTGTTTATAATAGTAAAATCCTGGAAACAATCTAATTTTCCCACAATAAGGAATTGGTTAAATAAATTCAGATTCATGTATACGATGGAATATCATGTGGCTATTAAAAATTATGTATAAAAATTATCATGGAACATTATAAATCAAAAATTAAAGCACTTATCAAACAAATGTGCATGATTACAGCAGTTTTTTAAGATCAAAATATGTCTATCAATTAAAATGAAGCATAAATGAACTTTAACAATGGTATGTACATCTGGAAACATCACAGAAAGTGTTTTGTTCTTTGTATTTTATATTTTCTGTATTTTAAAAATTAATGAACTTACATACCTATTAGAATAGTCAAAATCTGGACCACTGACAGCGCCGCATGCTGGTGAGGATGTGGAGCAAAGGAACTCTCATGCCTTGCTGGTGGGAATGCAAAATTCAGTAGGTGAATGGACAAACTGGGGTCCATCCAGGCAATGGCATATTTTTCAATGCCAAAAAGAAATAGCTATCAAGCCATGAAAAAACATGGAGGAACCTTAAATGCATATTACTGAGAGAAGCCACTCTGAAAAGGCTGCATACTGCATGATTCCAAATATATGACATTTTGGGAAAGGCAAAACTATGGACACAGTGAAAAGATGAGTGCCTTCCCGGGGTTAAAGGAGTGAGGGAGGGATAAATAGGCAGAGCAAAGGATACAGTGAAAACATTCCATTTGGTAACATAGTGATGGATACATATTATCACCCATTAGTCCAAATTATAGAATGTACAACACCCAGAGGGAAACCCAATGTAAACTATGGACTTGGGTGATTCTGTTGAGTCAATGCAGGTTCATCGATTGTAACAAAGGAACCAGTCTGGTGGGGATGTGGATAATTGGCGGGCTACGCATGTGTAGAGGCAGGAGGTAAATGGGAAATCTCTGTACCTTCCTTTGATTTTGCTGTGAACCCAAAGCTGCTCTAAAAAGTAAAGTCTTAAAAAAAATTCATGAGCATTTACTCCAAGTCATGAAGTAAAATGTTGAATATTTTCCAGGGTTAACAACAAATTTTCTCCCAATTTGCTCTCTGCATCAATACCCTGCGAGGAAATGCTCTGTTGCACCATCAACTGCCCTGTCAAGACACGAGACAGAGGATGCATAATTAAATAAAATGGGGAAAAATGGGAACATTTTGTCAGTGAATAATATACTCCGACACAGAACTTGTTTTAGGAAAATTGCTCAGTTTCGCCTCTCAAACACATTCTTATTCCAATATATTGATTAATTCTTCCATGCATCAAAATTTTTGAGCCTGCTGTGAGCCAGGCACTCTTGTAGATGAACAGGACAAAAGCCCTCCCTTCATGGGTTTGCATCCTAGAGAGGGCAGGCAGGTAGAGGGAGAGAGAACCACAGTAAACAAGTAAGCAATGCCATGAATAAGATCATTTCCGGTTGTAAGTGCCATGAGAAATATAAGCCAGGTGATATGATGGAATAGGGAAGTGGGCTGCTTTAGGTCCAGAAAGGACTCTATGAAGAAGTGGCAATTAGGCTGAAACTAGAAGGAAGAGCAGTGGCTAACAGAGAAGAGGAGGGGAAGGGTGTTTCCTGTAGAAGAAATGACAGGTGCAAAGGTCCTGAGATGGGAAGCAGTTGGGCATGTTTGAGGACGGGTGGAGTCTAGTGAGTTGGGTGACAGTGGGATGAGGTTTTCTGGGACCACAGCCTTGTCTGGGCCACCTCAGCTTTGAGATGCCAATGACACATCACAATGGAAATGCCAATTAAGTATTCAATTCCCATGTCTGGCACTCAGGGGAGAGACTGGGCTGCAGATATGAATTTTTGGGATTGCCAGCATTGGATGGTAACTAGGGTGACCCCGTCATCCCAGTTTGCCCAGGACTTTCCCGTTTTCAGCCCTTAAAGTGCCACATTCCAGGAAACCCCTCGGTCCCCAGCAAACGGGGATGGTCTGTCACCCTAATTACATGTAAAGCCAAAAGCAATTACCTGCAAAAGGTAATTACCTGGGGAAAGAATGGATGGGGAAGAAAAGAGGCCTCAGAACGTGGTCCTACAGACGTCAATACTTAGAGGTCGAAGAGAGGAGGCCCTGAGTCCTGTTTAAGAGCCATCAGCAACCTCTCTTAAAGTCAGATCAGAGAGACTCCATATAGTAAAGTGAGGGCAGGACACAGAGCGGACATGAATTTTATTATATTAGGGGGGTAGGGCTTGAGGAGTTGGGATACAGAGCAGAAGCCCCCAACATCATCTAATGGGATCACGAAAGGGCATTCACACTGAGCTGGGGCGGTGGGGGCGTGATGGGGGGTGACGACGGGACACGGACAACATAGACAAGGCTCCCCCCGGGTGGTGTAGAAGAGTGGGGAGTGGGGGGAGGTGGTTTCCAGGCAAAGGGAGTGAGCACAGAAGTTATAGAAAGAAGTTCAGAGTGGCTGGGCTGACACATAGGGTCCAAGAGGAGGGAGTCAAGGTTGTGCAGGCCAGGAAGTCAGGACTATGGCTTTGAATTTCATCCAAAGGGCCAATGGACACAATGGGTGGCTTTTGGCCCCAAGAGTGACATAGTCAGATTTGCATTTTAAAAGGCTCAGTGGCTTAAGTGTAGAGAAGGAATTCGAGGAGGTGAGGATGGAGGCAAGGAGAGCAGTTGAGGGTCTCTTGCAACAGTCCTGGTCAGCATGGTGGAGGGGCAAAGAGACAGCGATGGAGCTGAAAAAAAGGAGGGGAGGATGTCCAGGAGGTGGCGTGGGCTGTTGATTGGTATAGGGCAGTAGGAGGCCACATAAGGATGGCGGGTGAGGCTTGAGGGGCAATTCCGTTTTGCTCATGGTGCACTGGAATGTCTCTGGGGTGTCCAAGTGGGGGCCCAGGGAGTGTCACCAGACGTGTGTCTGTGCCCCTCACCAAGAAGGTCTGCGCGGAGGCATCAGCATCATGGGAAAAGACTTGGCAAAGTAGATCCATGTTTGCTAAAATAATAATAAGTAAAAGAATAAACATTATCTGTTCAACCCGGGGAATGAGAGATAGTAAACAAAACGTTCACATGTATATGACTTTAAGATTTTCACTTTTGCTTGCCTATGCTTTCTAAAATGTCCCCCATGAACACAAATTATTTTTTAGAAAAAATCAATAAAACGCTATTTTTAAGGAGAAAATGTGTCATAAGGCAGTGAAAAGGGAGGAACGGGATTGAAAGATCCTGGTGATGTCATGGGTGTGAGAGGCTGTGGGGAGCACAGGAAGCCCCACAGCTGTCGCCCAGCCATTCCTGCCAAGGACACACTCTCCCCGCTGGACACGCAACTTCCTCTGAGGCCACCTCTGGCCACACACACCTTGGGTCTCATCAGAGGATGTTCCTTTTCTGGAAGGTTCAGTCCCATGCTGTGCTGATGGCACCCACAACCTAGAACCATGGCCCCCACCCTCACCCGGCTCATTTGTTGCTTTACCCTTTACCAAGATAAGCTAAACTTATCCGTATTTGTGGTAGAGGGGAGAGGAAGAAGGGGGGGCCCTCTTCTGCCAGCCGGCCCTTGACATCCTATTCTCTCTTTTGACCTTCACAGCCAACTAAGTATTATTACATGCGTTTTCAGTGGAGAAACTGAGACTCAGATATCTCAAGTGATTTGCCCCAAAGCACAGAGCTTCCTGAGTGGCAGGAGGACCAGGATTCGCTTTGCCACCTCCCAGGCTGTAAAGCCACTGGGGTACAATATAGAGATTCCCAGTGTGGACGAAGGAGTAGGTTCTTCTCTTATGTTGATGTTGGAGGCTTCTCCTGGTTCAAATTCCAGCCTCACCACTTCTGAGCTGTGTGACCCGGGGAAAGATATTAAGGTCTCCAGACCTCCATCTGTGAAGTGGGTTCTTAATGAGGCTGGCTACCACATACAGATGTTGGGAGAGCCAAACAGGAATTCACGAAAGGTGATTAGAGCACACCAGGCACAACATGGGTGCTTGATGAATAGTTGTTGTTGTTGATGTTTTCTTTTCACTTCCCCAACTCTGCCTGTCCAGCCACAACAGAGCCCAAGCCTCGGGACTCTTTCCGGTAGCTTGTTAACCAGTTTCCTCAGAGAAGCTCCAAGATGGCGGCTTCTCTGTGGCGAAGATGGTGGGGAGAAGACACCAGCTTATAAATTAAAGAAGAGTTAAAATCAGGTTCTCTGCTGCAATCTGGTTTCCCTGCCCTTCCAAGAATATTTCTCAGCTATATTTCTCATGCTCAGAGCACGGGATGGAAATATTCAACTTGGTTTTTTGCAGCATGGATTGATGAGCCCCAGTAAGAGCTCTGAGCAGTTCTAGAGCCGCAGTGGGTCTGAGAAAGTGCCCCCTATATCACTGAGTCACTTAGAATCTAGTTACAGACACGAGAAAACTGTCGATGAGCAGGAACTGCTTGAGGCAAAGCAGAAGGAAATGCCCCCAGGCAAATATACGCAGGGAGACAAATTATAATTGAAAGGCAGCTTGGCCAGCTGGAAATCGCAGCCATTAGCATGAGTTGGGGGAATCACATAGCTGCGGCCATCAGCCTAGGACCCAGATGCCCTCCTCTACCCTGAGGGGCTTCCCTGTGGCCCCAGACCCCACCCATAACACTGTGGGCAGGTCACCGTCTCCTGGGATGCATTGCCAAGGTTTTGTCATCCTATGGAACATGAGATTACAGGAGACACTTTTCCTAAGGCTCCCAGGGGTGGTAGATTTCAGATTACAAGTAAATGGTAAAATGGACCTCAATGTAAATAATTTAAAACAGATGGTCAAGAACTAGCGAGGAAGAGCACATCAAGGTGTAAAGAGGTCCGGCTTGGGAGATGGAGGGTTTGTGGAAAGGATTTCCCTGGAGCAAACTATGAGACACCCTTCAGGGACGATGAGTGGAAGTGGGCATCCCCCTTCAGCTCAAGCCAAGAGACCCCTGTCAACAGGGTCAGTTGGAGACCTCTCTCCATGTGCCCTGGATTTTGGCAGGCCTGGTGAACTGATGTCTGACACCTGCTTGAAGAACCCAGTGATGAGAAGCTATGGCTGTGGGCTTGTGGCAGCAGGGAAGAGAGAGAGGGATAAGACACGGTGAGCGTGAGGTCCACTTCCACCAATGGGCACATGAGAATCAGCTGTTTTCCATGGACCAGATGTGGGCCAAGTAGGAAACAAAGTGGATCTTAAGGTCCACTCCAGGGAACGTGCTAGAAGGGTCCTGGGACCACAACAGAGTCTGGGAGAGTGGACCTCCAACAACCAAGGGCCGGCCCAGCAGCAGCGGGACACCTGCATCACCTGCCCCCTGGAAGGGCAGGGACATGCTGGCAGCGGGCCCTGCAGAGAGCCCACGGAGAGACAGCTGCAAACGCAAAGCCAGTGGATATGACTCAGCCAAGTCCTGCTCATCCAAAGGCTTGGTGACACGGAGACATCAGAGTCATGGGCCAACGCCAACACCTGGAGAGATGGTGGTCACCACTCAGATGTTATTTAAATATCTATAAAGACAGGGAAATATGGAAAACCTGGAATTCAATCAGGCTGCAAAGAACTGAAAGAAGGAAGTAAGCTGACACCTTAATGAGATACCCTCCGTCTACACAAATCAGATGCAAGAGTCAGGCCATGGTATGACTTAAACCCAGGTGCCTGAAGAGTGGCCCTGGAGTTCCTGTTATACGAAACACTCACTACTCCCGTCTAGTGTTGCAATGGGATCATGCTGTGTCAGTCTGGGTTTGACCAGAGAAACAGAAGCCATGGGAAGTGACAGATAAAACAAGGGATTTCTTATAGGGATTTACCTGTACACAGCTGTAGGAGCTGGTTAAATAGTCTCCATGAGGCTGTTGTCGTTGTTTCTGGTGCTGGAGCTTGAAGCCTGCAAGGCAAGCAGAGGGATCCAGGGAGTTAGAAATGATCTCCTACTCCACAGCTATACAAAACTAGAAAGAAAAATAGCGGTGCCGTTGGCTAATTTTGCCTGCAGAGATAGGCACAAACAGACTCACTGTAGGGGTGCCCGGCATGGTCTCCAGATCCTCAGAAGGCCCCCAGCCCCAAAATTCATCCTGGAGGTAGAGCTTGATGAGAAAAACCATTTACGTTCTCAGCCATCATCTCCAAACCCACCCTCCATCATAGCGGAAATGAAGGATCTAATTAGGGCCAAGGGGATGAGCTGGAAGGAAAGAGGACCCAGCTCAGGAAGCGGAGAAAAGACCTTCTGAGAAACGGGACAGTTGTCAAAACCCTTTCATATTCCTGTCCTGTTTCGCTGGAGCCTTGTCACCCCACAGGGCAGGACAGTCAGGCATGATGGTCCTCCATTTATAGATGAAGAGACAGAGATGCACAGATCTCCCCAAAGTTCACACTGCTGAGAGAAGGTGCCCAGAGCTGCTCATCTGGGCTTCAGTGTCCTGACTCCCTGGGGAACCAGGGACCGTCTTCATCCTCTTCACCCGGAACGTCCCAGCCCTCTGCTCATGGAACTGGATGTAAAGTCACCAGGCAATACAGGCCTTGGTGAGTGCTTCCTCTCCCCAAGGCCCCCAACAGCCCTGCATCTCTCACTCTGAATCTAACTTAGCCGCACACACTCCCCAGCCCCTGGGCCAACCCGCACTATGGGTCACTGAGTCATTAAGGATTACAAAGAGGGATGAGCCGGACTATTTCAGGAACAGGACTGGGGCCTCTGCATCCCAGGCAGAATCAAAGAGACCGAGGTCTGCACACAAAGTGGGAGGGGCGTCATCTGCCTCCACCCTCAGCTCATAGATGACAAATCCTACAGAGACTTGGACATTCAATGCAGAAGGAACCCCCAATTTGACATCTGTCATTCTCCACACAGTCGCTTACAGAGAGGGTTCAAAACACGGATGCCCAGAGCCTCACCCAGAGCTCCTGATCCAGTAGGTTTGGGGTCTGCTTCAGACTTTGCATTTTTAATAAATACCCCTAGGAGATTCCAGGGGATTACCAGGTCAGGGGAAGCATCATTATTCCCGTTATAGGAGCAAGGAGAGGGAAGGCAGCTGGCTTAAATGACTTGCCCCAAGTCCCACAGCTCTGGAGCAGCAGAGAGGTCCCTGTTCCTGGCCCTGCCCCTCCTCCCACTCCCTCCCACTCATTCCCTCCATCATGGTCAGCACCAGATCATGGTCACCCGTAACTGGGGCAAACGGTATGAATGAATGGTTGAATGAATGAATGAATTCCTGCAGGACCACATCCGGACGTGTTGCCTGGATGTATATCCATCTGGGGACAGAGATGGTTAGCAGAAAACACATTTAGGGACAAACGTGGGTGCAGAAAACATCAGAAGTGAGTGGGTGCTCTGTGTTGCCAGCTTCCACCATGTGGCCCCTGGAGTCACTGTTTTGAAAGAAGGACTCCTGGGTCTTCCTGTGTTCATTTTGAAATAGCCACTCTTCGCTAAGACTCTGCAAGAGAACTGGCACTATTTTGTTCAATGCTGTTTCCCTTGACTGCCTTGTGCCTGCGCAGGCTCGCACAGCCGGCACATGACATTTCACAGTTAAGAGACATGATTTGACTGTGGCTTAATTGGTTCCATCTTTGCTTTTTCAATGGAGCCAAAAGAAAAACACACTTTTTAACTTTCAGCTCTCCTTCACCCAGACTGCAAATAAATGGTCCTTATTTTAATTCAGGAGAGCAGACCGCAGCCTACACATTTACCGGTATGACAGCAGGAACTGATGTTTTCCTTACGCATCCTTTCAATTCATGCCAATTCCACTGGTTAATTGCAAAACTTCTCCAGAACTTGCCAGAAGATGTCTGGAGGCTGCGATCCGGTCTCGCTGCTTCTACGGTGAGATGCCACTGCCTGCAGAACACAGCTATCAGCCGGCCAGGGGCTCCGGGACCTGCTTCCTGCCAAACCCAGCAATTACACTTGCAGTTTCTCCGATTAAAAGGTGTTTAAACATCTGCTACTTAAGGATACTTAAAAGGTAATAAATTGAAAACGAGGGCGAAAAGAACTTACAGGGAGAGAGTGAGAAGAAAACTAAAAGGTCTATGTAAATAGAACAGCCGTGTTTTTTCATTTCTGAAAAGATTCCTTGACAACTTGAAAATAAGCGCAAACTCAGGTGTCCAGGGTGTAAAATAAATCTGAGTGAGTTTAACGAAAATCAAGCAGTGGTCCACGAAGAAATGGAATATCCTCACCCTCTTACTTCTAATGGGTCTGAGTTTGCTTTGCATGGGTGTTTAGCGAGGGGAGGGCTGCCAACTAGTTAGGGCAGGAGCAATGGCCAGAAGCCAAGTGCCTTCCTCACCCACGCCCTGTCCGCGCAGGGCCGTGCTGCACAGGAAGTGGGCTGGGGCACTGAAAACTTGACACAGAAGACAATTTTATGTGCCTGGTTACTTTCAAGAGGAATTTGCCAGCTTTCTGTCATGTATAGTTCGGTTTTAAAGAACTCCACTGTTGCTCATAATTAACCATCTCTTTCATATACACAATATTATTTAAGAATATTGTAGCCCACAGTATACTCAGTTCCACCCATCTCTAAGGGAAAAGTTAATTTCCAGAATTAAATTTTGGTCGTGGCACCACGTGTCAGTGGAAAGAATGGAAACTCATGTGAACACAGCCACTTGAATAAATTCTGTCCATCATTTGTATAAACGTGATTTTGTGCATCCTATGTATCAAACGCAATTTTAATTCCCAAACGCTTCTAAGTCCCCGATGCAGACCTAAACAATATAACGTACTTGTTGTTTATTCTGTATTAACAATGATTATTTTGGCACCTGGCTCAAAAACAGATTTTCGTTTTTGCATGTTGGTTACATTACAGACGTGGGTGGAGGGTGGAGTGGAGGGGTTTGTATAAATAAGCATTTGGAATGTGTATAATTTGTGCAGCTTGCAGTTGCCTCCCTCCCCCTTTTCCGGTCTGGACATAAAACCAGCTTCTCTCCTTGCTCTCTTTTGCAATTACAGGGAATTTTAGCTGTGGCTCTAATTGGGTGTGTGTTTCTCCCGTGCGTGATAGAAATCCTGGTGTCGAAACAGGAGCTCAGGGCTTAGAATCAGTGAATCTGTGTCAGGCCCCAGCTCTGCCTCCCACAGGTAGAATGACTCTCAGGAAGACACCCAGTTCCTTTCTTTTTCTTTCCTAACAGTAAAATGGGGATAATAGCATCTTTCCTTACCTCCCAGGACCATCATCCAGTTCGAATAGCATATGAATGTGTGCAGTCACCCCCAGCGTTTCACAGGATGACTCTGGTAAATTCTGTCTCTCAGTGAGAAATTTAAAAGTAAATGAAAAGAAAGACCTGTAACCAAAGACTCTGAAGATACTTGGCTGTTATTTCCACAAAAGTAGAAAAATTCTAAGGACAGAGATGTGAGCATTCGGTGGTATTAGTCTTTTAAGTGACTTTTGTTGTGTTTTCCTAATTTCCAAATAAACATGTTCTTTCTAAAAAATTTGAAAAAGAAAAAACAAAATATCACTCAAAACAAGAGATAACAATTCCAAACGTTTTTGTCTTATTTCCTGCAGTCTACATATCTATGAAGATACCTTTTTTTTTCTTTCTTACGGAGTTTGGATCACAATGCATGTAAGTCTGTGTCCTTGTTGCTATTTCCTTTGGATAATTCCCAAGAGTGAAATTACTTGGTCAAAGGGTAGTAATATTTTGAAGGCTCTTCATAGCTTCATCCACATCTTTGGAGAAACCCCGTACCAGTTTATAATGTCACCAGCAGGAAATGAGAATACTTATCTCACAACATCCTACCAGCACGCAGTGTGATCATCATTTCAACATCTTTGCCAAATTCCATTCCTTTGTTTATCATTGAAGCTGAATTTTTTTCATATCCTATTGGCCATTTGTATTTCTTATTTTGCACATTGTCTTAGTCAGGAATGCTTTGAGCTGCCAGTAAGAGAAAAATCAGACTTACAAGGATGGAAACAGAGTTGATTCAGGAGTCTGCAGAAATTGGCTTTAAGTGTTGGTCCAGCCGCTCAATAGTGTCAATGACAGGGTTTCTGTCCATTTCAGGGCCTCACACTCATGGTGGCAGGTTGGCTGCCCCAGACTCAGCATCATATTCTTATTCAAGGCAGGAAGAAGTGAAGAACAAGGCAGCCACATCTGTCCCTTCCTAGAACCCTCCCCTTGAGATTTCGGCTTATGGCCCATTGGCCAGAACTATGACACACAGCCAACTCGGCCACAAAGGAGGCTGGGAAAGATGATTCGTTTTTCCAGCCTCTCTAACTGCAGTGGGCAAGAGCGAAGCGGGTTTGAAAATGGATATTGGGTTAGCCAACAGTCGGGCTCTTGTCTTTTGTACATATCACTACAAGCTTCTGTCTAATGATATGTAAATTATCATCCAGGCTTCCTGGGAATCCTTAGAAGAAGCATTAACTATGATTAAATAAATAAAACGGTGACAATCACCTTAGCTAACGCTGCATAGGCTGACCATGTGAGAGGCAGCTGGCTCACAAACCAAGGCCTGCATTCTAAGGCAATTCCCATGAGACCATGACTCACTGGAAACCACTATTACTTTTTCAGTCCATGAGATCTAAATGCATTTGGCACGTTTCTCCCACAAAACATGCTTCTTACAAGACACCTGATGCACTCAGTTTTCATGACCACCAAGCGTCCAGCAGGAAAAAGAAAAAGGGATAACCAGGCAGAAGGCGGGAAAAGGGAGTTCTTTTGACTTAGGGAGGACCGCCCGTCCCAAGCAGCTTCCTCTCCATGCCCAAGCTACACTCAGGGCTTCCTTGGGGGCAAGGAGCCTGGGGAAGTGATTTTTCTTTAGCTGGGTGTCATATCCCCAGACCATATGACAGCTCTGTTAGACAGAAAGAAAGGGGAAAACACGGATATTGGGTGGGCAGCTGGCATTATCTACTGCAAACGTGTACAACTACGCCCCCCCAAATCCTCCATATTGAGACATTGAATTTTTAGTCTCCGCTTTCAAATTGTTTTGCTGCGAGGGGAAAAATGAAAACAAACTCCTAGGTACTAACGAGCTTGTCACCCACTCTGCCCAGTGTCCAGCCCAGTGTTCTTCATTAGCTGTCCTTTCTGCAGCTCCTGAGGACTCCTCCCAGCTTGCTCCCAGATGATTCTGCAGAGGTGAAGACAAAGCCCCCAGGGGCCTGTGAGGTCATCGCTCAGCCCTCAGCAGCTCATCAGTGGAGAGGCAGGAAATTACCCCTTCCCACTTCTTTTTGCCTCCTCTCCTACCAGGACAATTTGTATCTACAAAGACTGCCCTTGACCCTTCCCAAGGTGAGCCATATCCCACATTGTTTGGGGTGGAGGGGGTGTGTGGGCGCATGCACCTCATGGCTCCTTAAAGAAGTCCCAAAGTGCAGGTACGTGGCCGCCCCTCTTGTCCCTATAATTTTCACTCACCTAGCAGGACCGCTCTCGATTTCTGGATGGTTTCTCCATTGTACCATGGAATTCTGCCGGATATTTCTCAAGCTGTTCCAACTTTCTTCCCTCCCTGAACATTTTAACGGCATAAAAAGCAAACAAAATATGCATAATCTTTAAATAAACTCAACAAAGCTTGCTGCATAAAAGCATTACCCTTTCCAAAAGTTCTTTCTTCCTCCGCTTCCTCTTCAACGTTATGAATTATAGATGTGGAAGAGGATTAATCATGATAAGGTGTCCATATTTCAAGCTTGCCAATGACTTCATGTCTCGGGGGTGGCCAAATCTGCAGACAAAAATGGGTGCAGATTGCTGTGTGACAATGGAACACAGGTAGGAGTGCCCATCCCCGCTCACAGGACTGGTCCTTTCCATTGCCCGGTGGAGAGCTACCTTGAAGGTATTTGTATTACTGAGGAGCATCCTCTCACCAGCCTAGCAGGCACCTGAGGCAGAAGGTGCCGAGACTCATAAAATAGGGACCTGTGCCAGAGAATTCTAAAAGGCTAAAGCTGAAAAATGTCCCTAGGGATCCCCTGACCAAATTTTTAATTTTAAAGACTAAAGCTCTAAGGACCCAAGAGCTCAAGGTCCCCAGACCTTTCCTCCCAATTTTAATTGTTAGGTTACATTAAACAGCACAATTGGCTTGTGCTGTGTCTTCCTGTGTTGGACTAGAATTGGCCTAGAAATAAATAAATACGAAAACAAAACATACTAGGATGCGTTTATGTGTTCTGTGCTCAACCAACCTAAAGATAATAAAACAGAAAGAAAATAAGATCAAAATAAAACATTCTCCCACTTTGCCATCCACATCCCTACCTGCAGCCCCACGCCTGGTAGAGCCAGGGATCAACATCTATCTCTGCACATCTTTGCTCCGCCAGCTCTTAACGCAAAGCTCTTTCGGCCCCGTGGTGGGGTTTGCCATGTGCAAGGGGAACTGGGAAAAGTTCATAGAAACTTTGACTTCCAGTCATCACTTGTAAATGTTCCTTACACACTCACACAGTCAGCCAAAGCACGTGTAGCGACAAGTTCACACTCTCCCACAGCCCTCCCCACGATCCTCAGGGTTATTTAGAAGAGGCTGAAGGGAATGCCATTTCTGGTTTTGGTTTGGTTTCTGTTTTTACTTTTGTTTTAAAGAAGACAACTCAAGGAAGCAAGTGGCTAAACTTCTCACCTAAAATTAAGATGGAGGAGCACAATGAGTGGCCTAAAGGAGCTAATCACGTAATAGAAAAACCAGAAAACAATAACCAAGTACAGCCTCACTCTCAAGGAGGAGAAAAGTCTACTTGGAAATTAAGCCCAGGAAATACTGGGTTGATTTACAGCTGATCTAATTAATATATTTCAGAAACAGGAATAACTTTACTCCCCTAAGTATGCTTCATGAATTTGCAATGCATGTTATAAATGATGCGAGGGGGAAATCGATCCCTCTTTCCTGGTGTTAATACTTAGAAAAGAATGGGTTATCAAAGAGTTCCAAAGGAGATTCTTTATCTCCACATTAATATCTAGTGTATTGTAGTTTCTGAAGTTGTAAGACATTTTTCTTGTTAAAGTCATTTATTATCATCATCACCATCATCATCGTCGTCGTCATCGGCATAATTAAAGCAGCGTTTCTTGAGTGCCTGCTCAGCTTTGAGGCAGTTTCCCTGGGCCAAGATTGTTGGGCTTCACGCCATGAACACTCTCCTGTCTGAATGCATAAACAGATCACTCAACTGTTCCACCTTCATCAAACAGGGGCCTTAATTGTGTAGTATAAACACGCGTGTCTTTTGGGTTTTATTAAAGGAGTGGTGTGTTTGGAAACACATTTTCTGCAGCATCCGTTGAACAGGACACCGTAGATTAGTTGAGTACGAGAGTAGTCACTCCCTCAGGCACTCCTGTCAATGTACATTGCATGGATGGGCATTTGGACTAAACGGATCAAAAGGAAGCTTGTTCCAGTAGAATTCAGGGATGCTCTGATTGTGCCAGTCACACACCAGAGTTGTGGATTTCAACAGTGATCAGAACTTGTAAGTAACTCTAGCTGTAGCAATTGATGTAGCCTTTTATAAGCCACACATCAATCAAAGAGATGATTTATTTCTTTGGTAGCTAGCTACCTCAGGGATCCCCACCTCCAGGTGTTCACATTCAACCTGAGTAAGGCTAACTGTAAAGCCAAGAGGGTAGTATAGACATGACCATGTGTGATCCAGCAAGTCTAGATCACAAAAGAAATGGCGGATTCTATCCTGCTCTCTGTTGCATCACTTGCTCTGGCGGAAGGCAGCTGCCACGTCATGAGGACACTCAAGCAGCCTATGGAGAGGTTCATGAACACAGGAACTGAGGCCTCCTGCCCACAGTCAACAAGACTTGTGGGCCCTGGGGGTGAGCTATTCCAGCACGGGGCCTCCAACGTCATTCAAACTCTCAGGAAACTGCGGCCCCAGCCAACATGACTGAAGTCTCCTGAGAGACTGAGCCAGAACTTCCCTGCTAAGCCACTTCTGAATTTCTGGCCCACAGAAGCTTTCAGATAATAAATGTTTATAGTTTTAAGCCTTGAAATTTAGGATCATTTGTTATACATGAATAGATAAGTAATACATTGTAGTGCACGAGCAGTAGTAAAATAATGCTGTACCCTTTACACCAGTGTCACCAAGTTGGAAAGAACATGACATGGGCAGAAAATTTGAATCCCATTATGCAAAAAGACAAAACAGGCCTTGTGGAAGAATGGAGTTGATGTTTCATGGGAATTTCACTTATGACCTTGCCTGGTCTGGTCCGCCTCTGACAAGCACAAACTCTAGATAAGGAAATTGGGCCCAGAGTGGCTAAGTCCCAGTGCAAAAATCTACAGAGGTAGTAAACCGCAGAGCTCCAATTCAAACCCGACTCCATCTGCCTTCAAATCCCACGTTTTTTCCCTGTATAATGACAAAATCTTCTAAAAATAAACAAGATCTGAAATGCCCATTGTTTTATCACCCTTTTTATTCCAGAGAAGGTTTCCACATCTAACACCAGAAATGCATTTTGTGCCATGAGAAATGGGCCATTACGTTCTCATGACAAGCCACACTGACCGTCTTCAGTGTGATCTGTTGAATGTACATTCCAATTTGCTTCTATACCATGTCTGCTTTGTGTGCACCCTGCAACAAAAGTGCATTTTGGGCAAGAATAAGGCAAAAACAAATAAACACAAACAAATATGCATTACTAACAGGGGAATAACTCTCACTGTCGTCTTAGATGTACCAGTTAATACAAAATTGACCTGAGCTACAAAAGGCTAGTCTGGGACACATCAGACTGTGGTGGACAGGTCCCAGGGCCTAGAATTAGGAGAAGGGTGTTCTCATTGGATGTTCCCTAAGATCCACTCAAGCAGCCTGTGTTATATAAGCACAGGCATGCACACCCATATGCAGCAGGGCTTGGAGGGGGGAGGGAGAAAAAGAGAGAAAAGATAATGTGGTTGACATTGGTTATTGCCTTCCCAGCACTCGGTGCTGCCTCTTTGGCTAGTAGTTCCTGATTGTTTTATTGCAAATCCACCCTCCTTCCACTCTTAGTCCATGAAGCCCGGGTGAGTTGCAACTTTCGGTTGAGGAGTGGAGGATGTAACTCAGGCTTGGCCAGTCAAGTGTTGCGCCTCCAGCCTTAGTGATTGGGTGAGGAATAGTCATATGACCAAAGGCGGTCCAAATCGAATGAATCTCAGAACATCAGCAGAGGTTGCTCTTTCCCAATGGAACTGAATCTGGAAGGTGGGCTTATTTGGAGCTGTCTCAGTCATTGTGCCACCAGCGGCCAAGCCAGTGAAAGGAAGAGCCAAGAGACAGAGAGAAATGAAGTCCTGATGACCCACTGGACTCCCTAGGCCTGTTCTAAGTGGTAATTCCCTCTTAGACAATATTTTGTCTTAAGTTTCTGCACAAGCAGACTATGAGATAAAACTCTTAGTGCAAGTAGTTTATTTGAGAAATGATCTCAAGAAAGACCCATAAGGAAGTGGAATAGTAAGATAGAGAAGGGAAGGAAGCCAACAAAGGATGGTACATTAAGCAGAATAATGCCCCCACCCTGAAGATGTCTGCATCCTGGAATCTGTGAATATGTCAGGTTACAAGGCAAAAGGAAATTAAGGTTAAAATGGAATTAAGTTTGTTAATCTGCTAATCTTAAAATAAAGAGAGTACCCTGGATTATCTGGGTGGGCCCAGTGTAATCACAAGGGTCTTTAAAAGTAGAAGGAGGCAGAAAAGAGACCAGAGATATGCTAGCATAACAAGGACCTAGCCCAGTGTGGCTGGCTTTGAAGCTGGAGGAAGAGGCCACATGCCAAGGAATGTGGGCAGCCTCTAAAAGATGGAAAAGGGAAGAAAAGGAACTCTCACTTAGAGCCTCCAGAAACAATGCCCCCTTCTGGAGCCTTGATCCTTAGCCCATTTCTGACTTCTAACCTTCCAAACTCTAAGATAATAAATATACGTTGTTTTAATCTCTAAGGCATGGTAATTTGTCACAGCAGCAATAGAAAACTAACACAAATGTTACAAGTCAGCTACCTTGTGGGCAGTTAGAGCTCAGTCCCACTGGGGACCTCCAGGGGACAGTGTAGGGCATGCCACCAAGTTGCCCCAACCCAGGGTAAGGAGATGGAGCGTCACCACCAACCACAGCCATCAGGGCAAGTGCTCTTACACTGCCAGTTGCCTGTGAGTGTCTGCGTGGGCTTCATACCCAGACAACAAGCCAACAGGCAGAAAGTCTCAGATTCTCACAGTAAGCGGCCTTTTGCATCAAAGATGACGTCCAAGGACACCAACAGCATCTGCAACAAGCAACTTTTGGAGAGAAATAGTGTTGGGGGGTGGATTTTAGTTGTCACAATAATTGGGGGTTCCTACTCATATTTACTGGCTGGTTCCATGCTTGGGATGATTCTGCACCATAGGAACTGTCTCATCCAACAGGCGCAAGTGCCCCCCAGAAATACTGGCAGAGACCAAGCCGCTTCTCCTCCTAAGCCATTTGGTCAGACTAACTGATTATTTCCTTCCTGCCTGAGCTAGTTTGGAATGAGTTTGCCTTCATTTAACCCAATGACCCTCGAGTGATACACATAGATGACAGAGATATATAGAAAGATCTAGGTATTACTCTTTGTAAAAATGTCCAACAATAGCTTTCTGAAAAAAAAAGAAAGAAAGCCAATAATTCACAACAGCTGGGATGAAATTCCCATCCATTCTTCACACTTTTTAGCATAGTGTTGAAAGGAGCATAAAATAAGCCCAGCGCAGTTAGAACATTCTGTCATGAAGTAACAGAGACACATTCCAAAAGGAAGGAAAAGGGGATTGCAACGTGCTTTCATACTCCCCAAAGGCATATATACCATAAACCAGCAAATGTTTAAAGATCAAAATGAGAGCCTGGACAACTTGCTTCCTAAAGTCTGTCTAAAACTCTTGTCAACAAATAACGTGCAGGTAAGGGAGAAAGACTTTGAGAAAGTTTAAAAAGGGAAGGAAGGAAGGAAGGAGGGAAGGAAGGAAAGAAAAAAGGAAGAAAGAAGGAAGGAAGGTAGCAAGGAAATATTTCCTTTGCTTTTCTTTCTTTAAAATCCCCTGTGGCGTTTTTTCACCACACCCAACCTTTGATTGGCCTTCCATCTATACTCTGGAATGGAAAAAGCCACATTGTTAATACCTGCTTCAGACATGGGTGACTCTCAAGAAGAGGGGCAGAGAGAAGAATCTGGAAAGTAAGGGATAGGCTCAGACTACCTGCACATCTGTTCTCTCAACCACCTTGACTAGCTTTTCAAGGTACCTCCAATACTGGTTTCCTGTGGCCGTCAAAACAAAGCACCACAGACTAGGTGGCTTCAAGCAACAGAACCTTATTCTCGCACACTTCTAGAAGCCAGAAGTCCAAAATCAAGGCACCAGCAGGGCCACGCTCTCTCTGAAGGCCCTCAGGGAGGATTCTTCCTGCCTCTTCCAGCTTCTGGGGCTGCTGGCAGTCCTTGACGTTGCTTGGTTTGTAGACACATCACTCAGATCTCTGCCTCTGTCATCGCATGGCATTCTGCCTGTGTGTCTGTGTCTCTCCGTGTCCAAACTTCCCTCTTCTTGTAAGGACACCAGGTGTTGGATTTAGGGCCCACCCTCATCCATTGTGACCCCATCATAATGTGATTACATCTGCAAGACCCTATTTCCAAATAAGGTCACATGTTCACAGGTTCTGGGGTTCAGAGCTTCCACATATCTCTTTGGTGGACACGACTCAACCCACAACACCTCCTCAAACCACATTTTATAAACCGCTGCTCAGCCATACATCTCAGACAAGAAATATTTGAAATTACACTTGTGACGTCAAATGACAGAAAGATGGCAGGGGAGTAACAGAAGGCCTACACCCAACCCTATGTCCACACAGCACTAAGCTCCCCAGAGTCTTGTGGCCCCAATGGACATGCTCCACCAATACCTGCAGCCACCAGGAGTTAGAGGAGTGACTTTAGAGCAGCTGGCGGGGAATTAGGGAAGGAATCCACCTGCAGAGGCACTTTTTCCAGGGTCTTTCGGAGAAGCGCTTTTCGTGGAAGCCTACCCAGTCTTCATCTGGCTGTGATGCCCCAGACATTTCTTCTAAGTTTCCGGCCTCTGCGTGGAGCCTCAGCCCCCTGATCCGAGAGCATTTCCTTCCTTCCCCTGCTCAGCACTGCAGGCTGGGCTCCCCTGTCAGCTGCATTCCAGCAGGGTTTGGCCTTGGGAAGGCAATGGCAGGAAACAGGTGGAAATATGAGGTGAGCCATATTAGGTCACCAGTATTTGACCATTTTGTACCTGCCAAGGCAATCACAGATCAATTTCAAGACGTTTCTGTTTTCCTGATTGGACTCCCATTGATATGCTGATTGAGCTTAGCTGCAAAGCAAACAGCCTTGCTGGGGAGATTAGCCGACAGAGCAGTAAGTCACTTCCGAAGTCAGAAGAAGCAAAATCCACCGGTTTTTAGTTCGGCGTGTGCTAATTTGTTGATCACATCCTTTAATTCCCTCCTGGACAAATCAGCCTTGTTCAAACTCTGCTCGGAAAGGAAATAGTAACCGTCAGGTGCCGAAGTTTATTTCAGAAGTGAAAGAAAGATCGGTTTGATCTATGAGAATTTCCAATAATGGTTTTTAATCAATAATACTACTAATAAAAATACAATAGAATTCTCAGGCTTGCAAAAACCTGAACTGCTATTGTTTTATTGTAAATGCCAGGATTTAACCTCTAAATTAACGCATCCCTCTTCAAAGCTGTCTCTTTGAAAGGCTGCCATCTTTTTCCAGGGTTAACATCCGGAGGTCAAAACATCTCTCAAGAACCTCTTTGCCTTGGCTTCTCAGAGCCACCTTTGGATTATACAGTAATTTCACCCGCCGCGACACCTCACTTTATTCATCATATCAGTCATTCACCGATTGGCTCTTCCTCAGACGGGATGAGTGGCGACCACTTACCGTATTCCAAACGAAGCCTGAGGAAAGGTATGGAGACTGGCTTTAAGTTTTCATATGAGTCAGTGCGTAAACTCACAAGATAGCTAGCTACTTAGAAGAGGTCTGTTTTTGTTAGGAAACTTAAGCTCTAATACATTTACTTGTTTTTAAAGTATCTGGATTCATAATCTTACCTATTTGTGATGAAACTTCCCTGTTTTTCAAAGGAAAAGGAAAAGTCATTTAGGCCAAGACATCTGAGAGTGAGCATAGTCCTGCCCCCGCCCAGCTTCACAGCAACCAAAAGCCACTCGTACCACAGGGGACGCCACAAGGCCCAGCCTCCTCCCCCGCTGGCTTCCTATAAACTGTCATGGAGAGTGAAACACACACTGTCAGAGTCACTGCTCTGGGTTATCATTGACCCAAGAGGTCCTGCTGAAATGTATGAAGGCATCACGATGAAATGGCCTAGTCACCCCTTGGAATCCACCACCTTTTATTTTCTTGATGAGGTGAACTGTGGGAAGCAGAAAGCAGGATCCTATTGCAAAGGATGTGGGATGAGGATGGTCTCAGGAAATGCCTGAAGCATTGAAGAGTTAGGTGCTGAGCGGCTGGGCAGGTTAGAGGCAGAGTAAGGACACGGGCCCCATGGCTGAGTCATGATAACAGAGGGAGCATAAAGTTGTGGACAGCTTGGGGACAGTGTCAGTCAGGTCAGGCTCAGGCAGACAGGCAAGTTCACTGTGAGTGTTGTGGGATAAAGCAATTATAGGAATTAGACCTTCTGCTATTGTGAGGGGAGCGGAGGAAGCCAAAGTCTAGAAGGAGGCACCGAGGAACAGTGTGGGAGACCACACCCAACGATGCCAAAATGAGACCACAAAGGTAGCGTTTAAGAAGAGGAACACTGCCGATTCTGGGTAGCCACCACCTCTGGAGGTCTGCAGCCAAGAGCCTGAGAAAGCTCACAGTCGGGATCCAGAGCTGGGAGGGGCAGAGAAGAAAGAAGACAGGCTGAAACCCAGCAGCGACCTCTGTGTTTATCCACCATCACATCGAGACGATCTGAAGACCTTCTCCTTTGGAGAGTCACGGCCACCACTTCACTGCCTTTCAAATGCACACAAATTTCTCTTTTGGATAACTCTAACTCAGAACCAGACAGGACCATTCAACCGTAGATTCTGATGAAATAGTTTATAGAAATATAGCATCATGAGAATGATCGTCTTTAAGTTTATTAACTATCCCTATCCCTTGGTTTTAAGTTTATTCATATGCCTTGCGATAGCCAGTGGGATGAGGCCGTAAATGGTGTGCTAATTCTGAGCAAAGTCTTAAGAGTCTCCATATGTTTCCCTTCCTCTGTTTTGCCTCTGCCATTGGCGGGAGACTAGACTCCAGGCCAGACTGTTGGTTCTAGGCAGAGGATGAGAGACACATGGAGCAGTCAGCAAAATATTTTCAAACTAGGATATAGCCTGGGGACAATGACCAATTCCAGGGTGCTTCCAGGAAGACGTGGCATCAGAGTAAAGACCAAATCAAGCATATGGCTGTAAGATCCTTTGTGAAGAACTTTGTAAGAATTAAGGTGAGATCTAGTGTACTCTCTCAGTTGGAAAAAAATTTTAGGGAACCTAAGGATGGGATGCAAGACAAGGCTGCTGTGCCTATACTGCCAGCAAGTACACTGAGAGGGGAGGCTCTCAAAATGAATGATGGGTGTGGCTTTTGGTACATGGAGTGGATTAAAACCAAATATATAAAAAACACACAAAGTTTTTGAGGGAGCCATATAGGCAAAGTGCTGGCAGCCAAGGGTAAAAGAGATCGTTGAAAATATGAAAAGATACCTTGGCTCATGTATTAGCCAGGGTTCTCAGAAAAACAGAACCAATAGGAACTCTTGGTAAACAATAGATAGAAAGATAGATAGATTAGATAGGTAGATGATGATAGATAGATATAGGATAGATGGATGGATGGATGGATAGATAGATCGGTAGGTAGGTAGATAGATAGATAGATAGATAGATAGATAGATAGATAGAGATATGGGATACATAGATCCATAGATCAACATATGGATGGATGGATGGATAGGTAGATAGATGGGAAGATAGAAAGATAGATAATAGAGATTTGTTTTAAGGAATTGACTCACATGATTGTTGAAGCTAGTAAGTCCAAAATCTACAGGGCCAGCAGGCAGGCTGGAGACCCAGGGAAGTGTCCGTGTTGCAGCTTGAGTCTGAAGGCCGTCTGCTGATCTCTCTGGAGGAGATCAATCTTTTTTCTGTTATGGCCTTCAACAGACTGAATGAGGCCAACCACGTCATGAAAGGCAATCTGCTTTACTCAAAGTCCACTGATTTAAATGTTAATTTCATCTAAAGAATTTCTTCACAAAAACATCTAGAATAATGTTTGACCAAACCGCTGGGTACCGTGAACTAGCCAAGTTGATATATAAATTAACCATCACAGCCTGCAACTTTCTACAGGCAGAAAGCAGACTGAGAAACTTTCTGAGTTACCAAGAACGGCACATTTTCCAAAGTCATCTTCAGAAGTGTTCCGGGAGAAAGAGAGGATAGCTCAGAAAACAGAGCCAGGAGCCATGGACAATGGAATGAAGAACCACACCCGGTAACCTCAAGCTGGGGCTAATCAGGGTGCACTCACCACCCTCAGTGTAGGAGGGCCTGGCAATATGTGCCAAGCAAGATTTTAAAATCGCTATGGACCGTGGCTGCTATGTGTCTCCCATTCTTCCCCACTTTTAGGGTGTGTTTACTGTGCTTCTGCCATCCCTGTTTCACTGTCCTATTTTTGTATATGTGTGTGAACAGAAGGAATCAACCTGTTCTTTTAGTTTAAGGCCTCCAGTCAAGAGGAGTTGCATCTGGCCCTGACGTAGATCATGAGATCTTTACCTTCAAGTTTTGACCATGACTGGATGAAACTTTTGGGATCTTTGGATGGGGATGAATATATTTTGTATGTTGAAGAGTTATTAGGATTTACTAGCAAGAGAGTGATTGTTAGATTATTTTTCACAAATATTCACTCCCTCACCACCACCAACAACACACATACACACACACACACATCAAGGCAGAGTATGTTTCGCTGCCTCTTGGCTTTAGGGATGTCCTAAATTCGCTTTGGCCAATGGAAAAATAAGGAAGTGATGATGTATCAGGTCTGAGACTAGCCTTTCTGAGGCCTCATGTGTTTCCACTTGCCTTCTTCATGAGAAGACAAGCCCAGGCCGGCTTTCTGTTCCCACAAGGATACAGTCACAGAAGCAGAGCTGAGCCTGGTGTGGATCAACTGACCTCCAGCCGATCCCTAGATGCGTGAGCAAGCCCAGCCAAGATCAGCACAGCCCAGCCAAGATCATCTGAGCCTGGACCAGACTATCTGATCCGTGGACACAAGATACAGAATAAACCCTCTTTGTGGTATGAAGCTGAGATTTTCTGATTGTTTATGACACAACGTTATGGTGACCTTAAGCCAGCTGTACAAAAATCAGCTATAAAAAGCTTTAGGAAAGTGAATATGGTAGGGAAAATAACATTTACTGAGAATTCCCAACAC